AATTATGAGAACAGGCTATTAGGTGAAACTGGCCAATCCATGACTAATGCAAAGATCTTCTGACTGATGAGTTCTCAAGTTCAAAACAGACACCTGGACTTTAAAAAGCAGCTTTGAAAAATATATGAACTCAAATCTGCAAATATATCAATGAAGACAAGAAGAAAACAAAAAGTGAAAACGACTCAGAGATCATCTTCAAAGACTAACACAAGAAAGTAATTCTATATGATCATAACAATGAAACAGAAACCCAAAGTGTATGTGAGTTTGTAACTCCTCCTAAGCCTTGATACTTCCTATTAGAGTATTCTTCTGCAGAGCTGTCTGACCTCACAGAGGTTACATGTCCAGTCAAACTGGCTCCTGTACTACAGCTACCTTGAATCTCTCACTTGACCAAAATTCTGTATAGTAAGAACCAGGGTCATCTTTGTCATCAGATCAGTGGCTCCGTGAATGAAGCACTAAAAAAAAAATTTTTTTTGAATGGATAAACAACACAATAACCATGCAATGAAGAAGAATTTCATGATCTCAGGCTCCTTCACTAAGGCTGTGGTCCCCAACTGCAGGCCTACAGATCAGTACTGGTCCAGCGTCTGCGAGGAGCCAGGCTGCACAGCAGGTGATCTGCCTCCTATCAGATCCATACCCCACCAGTGGAAAACCTGTCTTCCATGAAACCAATCCCTGGTGAAAAACGGCTGGGGACTGGTGCTCTAAGGTGAAATGAAAGCCTGATTTGCAGTTAGCTTAGGGAACCTGGCTTGCTTCCCCTGTGGGGATGAAAACTGGTTTTCCCCTCCATCCTTTCCACGTTCCTTAGCAATCCCCTACTCTATGTTCCTGTTTATCCAGCCCTTCTCTTGATCCAATCTTTCTGGGAACTTGGGATTATTTTACCCCTATCTTTTCGCCTTTTTGCATTTTGCATATGTGCTTTATGTTAGAGATCAATAAAAACCTTCTGAAGAAGCAAGCCAGAGAACTGCTATATCGTCCCAGTCTGCCACTTGGTGTGAGATGCTTGTGTGGATTATCATAATTCCTCCAGCATCGTTTCCCTATTGGCTCTCAACCAGATGAGGGTCCGCGGCCTCGACCCCAACAGTGAACGGTTCTCAAACTGGTTCATCTGGGGAGCACCAGGAAGTCATGGGCCCTCTGTGAGACACCGTGCTCTTTTGTGGAACACTGCATGCTAGAATGAATTTAATTCCATCACATGGTTGAAGACATCAGTAAGCTAAAATATACATAATCCTCTACTTATGCAAAAGTACAGTCAGCTGTCTATATCTGTAGGTTCCACAATGGTGGATTCAACCTAATATGGATAAAAAATAATAGGTTCTGCATTTGTAGATCCAAAGTAATTGAAAATAATTGTACTGAACATGTACAGACTTTTTTCCTTGTCCTTATCCCCTAAACCACCAGTTCTCAACTTGTGGTTCAAGACCCCTTTGAGGGTTGAATGACCCTTTCACAAGCGTCCCCTGATATTAGATATTTATATTACAATTCCTAACATTAGTAACAAAAATAATTTTTTGGTTGGGGGTCACCACAACATTAGGAAGTATATTAAAGGGTCGCAGCATTAGGAAGATTGAGAACCACTGCCCTAAACAATATGGTGTAACAACTATTTACATACCATTGATATTGTATTAGGTATTATAAGTAATATAGAGATGAGTAATATAAAGTATACAGGAGGATGTGCATAGTTACATGCAAATAAATACTATGACATCTGTGGATTTTGATATCCTTGGGAGGTCCTGAAACCAATCTACCCCCAAATATCAAGGGTTAATTCTATAACTCTAAGTTCACAAGCAAGAAATTAAAAAAAAAAATGCTGTAAAACTTAAGTTTGATTGTTACTTCTGAGTTTTTAAAATTAGTATTTCTTAGGCTGGGTGTAGCTCATGCTTGTAATCCTAGCACTCCAGGAGGCCAAGGCGGAAGGACTGCCTGAGCTATGATGTTTGAGACCAGCCAGAGCAAGAGTGAGACCCCATCTCTACTAAAAATAGAAAAACTAACTGGGTGTGGTGGTGGGCACCTGTCATCCCACCTACTTGAAAGGCTGAGGCAGGAGGATGGCTTGAGCCCAAAAGTCTGAGGTTGCTGTGAGCTATAATGCCATAGCATTCTACCCAGGAAGACAGAGTGAGACTCTGTCTCAAAAAGTTAATGAAATGAAATGAAATAAAGTAAAAATTTCTTAACTACCTTCTCATTTTTAATAGCAGAAAAAGTGGTAACAGGCACTAAATGCTTAAAAAAGAAAAACTTAAATATAAATTTAAATCTTCTTTCTCTTTACTAAGATAAAAACTATTGCCCACTATTAGCAGGGGAATGGCTCAGGTCCACAGTTTCTGGAATCAATCTGAGATCAGGCACCTAAAACCATTCAGCTTCTCCACAAATTAAGGCTTTTCCTTTGATGGTTTTGTTTTTTTCCTTGATTTTTTGTTTGCCTTTCTCTTATTCACCTTTATTTCCCAGAAGAATGTTTTTCAAAATATGGTTCCTGGACCACCTGTCTGAATATGCTGGAACAATTGTTTGTTTGTTTTGAGATAGAGTCGCACTTTGTGGCCCTCAAACTCATAGGCTCAAGTGATCCCGTTGACTCAGCCTTAGTAGCTAGAACTACAGGTGCCCATTACAACACCCACCTATTTTTAGAGATGGGGTCTCGCTCTTGCTCAGGCTGGTCTCCAACTCCTAAGCTCAAGACGATCTGCCCACCTGGGCCTCCCAGATTGTTAGGATTACAGGCGTGAGCCACTGGTCTCAGCCATGCTGGAGCACAAATTAAATGCAGATTCTTGCTGAACTACCACACCAGGATTCATAACAGTCTGATCAGAATGTTTGGAAAAAGAGCAGAAACCTACATGTTTAACACTTGAGGTAATTCTTACGCACAGTAAAGTCTGAAAATCTTACTCAAAAACCAGTAACTCTCAACATCTTTTGCTTCAAACAGAATTTCAACTGTTTGCTTCATTTCACCACAACCCTATCTGGTAGAAGACCTGATGTGATACAAATTCAAGACTAGAATTCCCTGTTCTAAAAGAAATTGTATTTTAATAGTACGGTCTTATGTATCTCCTCCATGAATAAATGTAGACAATAATGAATTAGATTATTACTACATTAGGAAGCATATCAGAGGTTGTAGAGCTGTGTCACTTTTCCTAATTAGATCTTTAAATATCTAAAGCTGATCTGCAAAATCAGGAGATGATACATTATTTAAATTAGATTTCAAATTTCTAGTCTGTTTCAATTAAGCTAAAGTGACCAAATGTTAATATAATTTTTTGGGTTATGTTTCTTTTTAACTCAATAAAGTTGAGCTGAATCAAAAGCCTTACTCAGAAATCAGAATAAATCCTTTCAGCCTACAGTACATTCCTTCAGCTATCGCTCAATTTCAGTTTCTAAGTTTGTCTCTGCAGCAAGCTCAGAGGCTACAGCTGGGAGGAGCAGACTGGACACTGTAGCCCCTTCACTTCCACGTCTGTGCTCTATGCCGGTGTCAGGGTTGGAGGGCTGATGTCTGCGTCTACAGAAGCCTGCTCTGCTGTTCCGTTTTTAAATTATGCATACACTCTGACCATTGACTATTAGCCGCAAACCCATAAATTTCCTTTTATTATCACCTCTCAAATAATTAGAACAGAGATTTTGAAGCTTCAGATTTAAATTCCAGCTCTGCCAACTGCAGTCAAGTCAATGCTTCCTGCCTTGATTTCTTTATTTGAAAGTAAACAGAATAATTCTAAATGAGTAATTCTCAACTGATGGGGGGCAGAAGGGACAGTCAATTCCCCTAGGATGCGGGGGACACCTTTCATTACCCTCAGTCCAAGAACCCGTTGGTACTGATATGAGAAGGCAGTGTCCTTCAGGTCCAGCTGATCCGTCATGTTCCTGTAAATTGAGGACTTAATGATTTATATTAACTCTTATATAGAAATGTCCTTTTGGGATTTTAAAAAATGAAATAAAACAGCTTTTCAGTGGCAATCTAGTTTTCATGGGGAGTTATTTTACCAGATAGCATGCAATTGGTTTCCTATGCTAAGCTGCACCTACTAGATCACTAATTATTTGCATTATTAAGTCTATGGACTGAAAGTTCTTTCAATGTGAACTTTCCTCCTACTGTGCCCATCTGCTCCTTTATTGTGGGTACAGAAGAAACCAAGACTTACTAAATGTTCAGTTTTTAGACTTCTTTATAATATTTTCATGTAAGTATTTACATCCTCTGAGGAAAATCATAGCACTGTGTGAGGAGACCAAGCTCACATCTGATTTCCCTTCCTCACCATCTAAGTGGTTATTATTTTTATGGAAGACTGAAAAGCCACCATATATATATATATACATATATATATAAAAGAAATAAATCAAAGAAATACAACTGGTAACTTTAAAAAGCATATTTGTGAGAGATAGTAAGTGATCTTTGATACCTGATTAATAACACTAAGCTATCTTATTAATATAATATTAAATAAAAATTTTGTGTTAATGTGGATAGAGCCACATTAGGTGAGGAAAGGCATCACACCCATTGACGACTACTTGTTGCTTCCACTGGCTGCCTATCACCCAATGATGCTGTTTCTCCACTTCACCCAACCAGGTCAGGGCGTGGTGAGCTCACTTTCTATGATGTCCCTGCCATGATATCAAGCCAGCTGGATTCAAATGATCCAAAGTTAACCCTCCTAGTGTAGTATCAGTATTTGACTTCAATCATGGTGCTCCCTAAAACCAGCAAAGAAATGGATAGTAGCTACATTAAAAACAGCCTAAGCTACAAGGATACATGTAAGATATATCCAAATCCTCTTAGCCACAACATGACTACTTAAACTTTTTAGCAGGCAGAGTTCTAGAAGAAGGTGCTACTTACTGGCAGGTTTAGAGCAGACAAAAACAGGAAAAAATATTACCTCAATAGCTGCAGAGCCGAAGCATACTCCTCTGAATCCCATATATTCTTTTCTAAACACATGCAGTACAGTTCTCTGATCTGTAAGTGAGCAGTGCATTCGTGAGGAACCAAAGTGACACTATACTACTAGTTGGGCAAAATCACACATGATCAACACACAAAAAAAGTATGTTATTAAAAACCATTTTCTTTACATGACAACAGACTTGGCATATATCATGTGGATGAGGCCTTATAAGAACAAAAGTCTTTACTTTTAGATAAAAGTAAAATAAGACTATGTAGAGATTAGCTGAAATTACTGGTCACTTTGCAATTAGAAAATGATAAAAATGAGAAAAAAAGGCTTGTGAAATCTCAATAGCTGAAATCACCTCATGAACAAGTCACTTGTAAACACTGGTATCTGTTCTCTAAAACTTTGAGTTAAAGATGTGAAGATGGAGGAAGATAGAATTCTTCCACTAACATCTGCTCTACAGATGGTCCGAAGTTTATGGTCTGACACAAAGGTCACCTGAGCATGACCTTTCAAGGAGTACTGCTGCTCTTTCAGCTGTTGGTACAATGCAAGGTTGACTGTTAAGCATTCTCAGGTTGCTTTTTCCAGTTCATTAGTAGAGAACCAGCTCTCTTGGTATAAGAGATGAAGTATTAAAGACAGTAAGTTTAAATGCCTCAGCACAATACACTATAGGCAAAGTGACATCCAGGATTCTTGTGGCTGCAGCTGTAGCCATCAGACCTTCAGACCTACAATGTTTCAGTTACCAGTAGTGGGCACAGCTAGAGTGGATTTAGATTGTACTCTCCTAAGAACTGGGTCCACTTCAAATTCTGATACTTAAATATTACAGAAATCAAAGCAAAAAACTACTAATATCTCTACTTTATAGATTTCAAAGGAGGCGGCTATGGTTACCTGTCGACCCAGAGGGTACTTGGGAAGAGAAGAAGTGAACTTATGAAGACATCTCAAAACAAGGAAGTAATTCATATGGTAAATGTGTAGGTTTTCTAATAATGATTGTGTTTCCTCCTAAAAATTAGAGTAGATTATTTAATATGTAAGTCAGCTAATAAGAGAGCATAACAATAAAATCTCCCTTAAGAATATACACATAATTCCCGGAAAAATGACAAGAGAAGACTCAATTATAAACCAAGCTCCTAATTCATGAAAATTTGAAGTACACATTAAATCCAGGACAAAGCCTGGTGAAATTTTACACACACCAGAACTGACAATGTAATTCAGTCTCCCGATATGTCTGGCATCCCCAAGTTACAAGTGTGCAAGAGAACACCTTATTAGCTACTTGCCTGTGCCGTCACTTAGCCTCACTAGCATCAGAAAAGTAAGAACATCCAAAGACACAATACCAGGCTGACAGTTGCTCAAGTTCTACTTTGATGTCCACTTTCCCCAAACTTCTGCTGGAGAGTGTTTTGAAGGGGAAGAAGACACACTAACGGCACAAACACTACAGGTGGTGCTAGTGAATCCCTGCCTTGATGAGAATCTCTAAGACTGGTTTTATTCACTTTATTTGAGTTAAGGATGTGAAGACGAGGAAAAAAATAGTTTGCCAACTATTGCCATAATAGTTTCCGATTACGGAAAAAAAAGTGAAAAGAAAAATCTAAAGCCAACAAGCTTTAAAATTTATAATCTATGAAGTATAATATGGGGGATAATGTCTTAAGAAACCTATGGATGACTGATCTCACAAATAAGTTTCAAAAGCTTTTGGTGAGGGGGGACAATATGTTTTCTAGAGCCTCCTGAAATACTTTAGAAATGACTTTAAAATACGATATCCTATCAAGCATTTTTTAGGCCTTAATTCTTCTTGTAATTGCTTGTAATGTATTTCTATAACATTTTCTTAAGAGAATTACAATATGGCATTGTCTCCACTTTTTTTCCTCTTCTAAGAAATCTAATTAAGGACATTAACTACTTGGTCTGTGTCTTTCAATAAAATCCTGTAGATATCCATTATTTTTAGTGGTCAATCATGCGGAAAATAATACCTCAGATATCAATATATTCAAGCAAATCTAACTTATAAAATCAACTAATATATTTTTCTAAATTCCATTCACTTAGAAATCAACTTCCTTGGTCAACAATATATGGGTCATTACTTGAAAGCACAGGAAAAATGAAAAAAAAAAAGCCTTTAATAACAAAATGTTTCTTCTTCCCATTATGTGAGATGATTAGTACTTAAAAAAAATCTACATCTCCTGTTATAACAAAAGTAGTCAAAATCTAAGGCAAAAGGATGGCTTGAGCCTAAGAGGTTGAGGTTGCTATAAGCTATGATACCATGGTACTCTCTCAAGGGTGACAAAGTGGGACTCTATCTCAAAAAAGTAGCCATAATCAAAGGTACTTTAACCATCTCTGAGAGAGTGTACTTTAACTCTACTTTTGTTGTAAGCTGTTAAGATAGAGATTGTATAAAGCCATTACTTGATGTATTTTTTTTTTGAGACAGAGTCTCATTATGTGGCCCTGGATCGAGTGCTGTGGCGTCACAGCTCACATCAACCTTGGGCTTAAGAGATTCTTTTGCCTCAGCTGTCCAAGTAGCTAGGACTACAGGCACCCACCACGAGGCCCATATATTTTTTTTGTAATTGTTGTTGTTGTAGTTGTCATTGTTGTTTGGCAGGCTCGGGTTGGGTTCGAACCCGCCGCCAGCTCCAGCGTATGTGGCCAGCACCCTAGCTGCTGAGCTACAGGTACGGAGCCACATGTATTCTTAAATAACTTTTAAAAACAAAATCTATCACTAATAATCATACTTCACGTTAGTTGTACAACCTAGTTTCTTTGGCTATGTGGAGTAACTATATGTACAAGTAACTAAGTGATCTGGCAGAACTTAGACTCTTCACTGGATTTACTTGGACGAGGAAAGAAAAAATATCCTTTCCACAGTATGATACTGCACACTTAAAAACTATGCCCTGGTAAGAGCGAGATGAGGAATGTAGACATGTTTTCTCCCAGGTTGTCTTAGTTTCTTCATACTTCTTACTTTCTGGTACATCCCTGTACTGAGTTCAGCATTTAAAAAATGTTTGGGGTCACTATTTTCTTCACACAACATGGCAAACTATTTCATCGATGCTCAACTGAGGAAATGAAGGTCTGGTTCCAACATGGTAAAAAATCTGGCTTTTTTTTTTTTGGAGACAGAGTCTCACTTTGTCACCCTCTGTAGAGTACAGCGGTATCATAGCTCACAGCAACCGCAGACTCCTGGGCTCAAGCAATTCTCTTGCCTCAGCCTCCCAAGTAGCTGGAACTACAAAAGCACCCACCACAATGCCCGGCTATTTTTAGAGACGGGGTCTCTCTCTGGCTCAGGCTGGTCTGGAACTCCTAAACTCAGGCAATCTGCCAGGGATTATGCGCCTGGCCTGACTTTCTTCATCTTGAGAAAAAGTCTGTGTTGCTCTGCCAAAGGATTTTTCAAAAGTAATTTTCTTTTCTTTTACCCTTAGTCTACAGAACAGAAATCAGAAGCAATTTTGACTGCCAGATCTTTGCCTTATGTGCTAACTTTAGAATTTAATACCTGCTTAGGAAAGATTCCACTGTTATTTACATATGTGTTCTCCTTAGTTGCAACAGAAAACATAAATAAGCACCATTTTCTTATAACTTGTCCTCTAAGTTCTCTATCTTCCTGAGATCCATATTTACAAATGTGTATCTGCCTTTACTTATCTAAGACAACAATTCCTAATGCACTTAGTTTATGGACATTATTTTATAACTGAAAACTGTAAAAGGTTTTGATGTATAAAAAACTTCCCATGTAATATGTTACAGAAGGATCACACTGCATATGTAAAAATAAAGCCTATTCAAGTATTAAGCCTATTTCCATTTGTTAAATTTTCTCTCAGGCATCTTTTCTGTACACTAGTCATAGCTGCCATCATTTTATTTCATAACTGTATGTAGAATGATTCTTTTCCATAGAGATATACTTCGTCAAGTAAAAGAGATATGCTTTTTTTTTTGCAGTTTTTGGCCGGAGCTGGGTTTGAACCCACCACCTCCAGTATATGGGGCCGGTGCCCTACTCCTTTGAGCCACAGGCGCCGCCCTCTCTTCTTTTTAAAATATGAAGAACTCTTAGTCATTTATGATTTTTGATACAGGTATAGGAATACACATATTTCTCTGCTGTAACAAAAACAGAGCAAATACACAGCAGCCCACTTTTCCTCAATTATGGCAGACATACTCCAATCTCAGGTCACTCTTACTTCCATCTCTGAACTCTCTTCCTCCAGAGTCTTTCTTGGCAAGCTCTGTTTTAGGTTTTTCCTTAAAATTTACCTTGTCACAGGTAGGGCCTTCTCTAATGTTACCAGCTCCACTCCCCAAACACATGGAACTTTACATTGCCCTTCTCTGTTTGACTATTTTCTCCTGAACACATACAAAGGTAGTCAACATAAGGAACTAGAATACTGTACTGACACGTACATAGGGTATATGTCTGGTCTATGAAAATTAGGTCATCTCAAGAAGGTGGTCAACTACAGAGGTTTTACTACACATAAGAACAAACAGGAAGAATTACATCATGATTGCATACATCATGATGCTTTTCTTTTGCATTTATTTCTCCTTTACTTTCCAAAGTATTTATCACTTTTGTGTCTAGAATTTTTTAAACAAAGTATATAAAAACGACTGTAAATATTTATTATTTTTCTATCAATATCATTAAAAGCTGGTTAAAGACTATACTGAATTTTAAGATTAGGAGACAGCAGCTGCCTGAGAACACAGCATTTTCTCATTTATCGTCTTGCTATAACTATTCTTCTCATTAGAGAAGACTTTTGGCTGGCAGTATTTTCCAGATTGACTTTTTGCATCAATAATCACAACTTTCTCCTAGCTCTTATGTGGTGTGAGTGCTGCTGATCTTCCATTTGCCTTTTTTCTCCACCATATTCCACTAATTTAGATCAGAAGATGCACTTGATGAAGGGCTTAGATTTAAATTAATTCCATACTAACATGCCTAGCTGACTTGATCACAGTTGTTCCTTTTTTCCTTCTCCTTTCCATTTATTATTTTTTTCTAAGAGATTTTCTCCCTCCCTCAGGTCAAAAAGCAAGCAAACAAACAAACAAACAAACAAACAAAAAAAAAAACAGAAAGAAGTGGGACAAATGTGAAAGGCAAGTCTCTCCACCAAATTTACTAACTAATTTTGTGCTTTTTGTTCATGCACCATGATAACCATATGAAATGATAAAAAGAGGTCCTTGCTCTACTACTAACTTACTCTGTGACCTCAGATATTTTGTTTCCTTTCTTGTGGCTATAGTTTTTCATTAGTGAAATGTGGGCACTAAATCAGGTTACCTCCGTAATTTCAATGGATTTAAAAACTAGTTGGGCAAATAGGTATAGAGACATGAAACATTAACAAGTCAGAATAATATAACTTCAAATGCCACCTGCAAGATATTGAACCCAAGTTTTCTATGTAGCACAAAGCTTTTTAATATTCATCAATTGTACATGGCCTTCTAATGGCCCTCCTTAGTTTGAAGTTGCTAATGATGTCTTCTGCAAATTTACACGGTTGTCAGCTGAATCTTTAAGTTTAAAAATACACTTTTAAAAAACTCATTCCTGACATTTATTAAATTCAAGGCTGGTATATAGTTTTGAAGCAGTATCTAAGAAACTAATAGATCTGTAATTTGGAGGGAGTTAAGTTTTTTTTTTTTTTGAGAAAGAGCCTCAAGCTGTCACCCTGGGTAAAGTGCTGTGGCATCACAGCTCACAGCAACCTCCAACTCCTGGGCTCAAGCAAGTCTCCTGCCTCCGCCTCCCAAGTAGCTGGGACTACAGGCACCCGCCACAACGCCTGGCTATTTTTTTGTTGGTTGCAGCCATCATTGTTGTTTGGCGGGCCCAGGCTGGATTCGAACCTGCCAGCTCAGGTGTATGTGGCCAGTGCCTTAGCCACTTGAGCCACAGG